ATCGCCGATTTCTCACGAATAAAAACTCAATATTGAAAACTAATAACACTATAAGGTAGATGATTAATTTCTCTGTCATTTGGTACAGTATGTTTACGAGATTGAGCTTTTATTCGTGAGAAATCGGTGATAGACGCGTTTTTTTTTTTTACAAAACCAATTACGCCCAAATCTCAAATCACTCCGGAAATGTCCAACCCATTTTTTGTGTGTGCTGCTAATTTTCACTGTTGCCCAATGCTTATGGAACTTTAATCAATAACGTAGTAGTCGAGGGGAGAGTGGGGTTTCAGAAGTTGTGACCGGCCATGTATTAGGTATAGCAAAACACGTTACGAGGGGGAAGGGGGATTAATTGATCGAAAAATTCTACGTCATTTATGGATGGTCCCTAATTTTTCTTCCAAGGCTGTGTCCCAATGGGTGACTTAAATTTAACTCGTGGTTAAAGGTGACAGATGAGCTATCGAATAACCCTGCACGGAGATGAAAAACTACCAAAAATTAAGTACTTTTCCCTCAGTTCCGGGTTCAGCACAATAACCCAAATTTGAGTAAATCGCATATAGGAACACCAGCAAAGGAAACTACTTACTCTTAAGTATATTCTAACCAAAATTAAGTTTAATTCACGTAAATTTTAAAATATGCAATTTTCTCAAAAGTTACTTATTGGGCTGAACTATATCGTTGGGTCGAATCTCTCGTTCCTTTTTTGACAACAATATCGAGTACAAGTGATATTGGCTACCGTGGGGATGAGTTCTGTTTGAAAACCGATCAATTTTCGGGATTTTCGAACAATGAAAATAACTTTCGAAATGTCACATTTAACCACGAGTTAAGTATTTAACTCGACAATTGGGACACAGCTAAAAAAGTATTTCTCACTTACTTTTTCGAAGGGACGTATCAACTTTTGTAAACAACGCATTAGAACGTCGATTTACCGTAACTGGTAGCTCACCCACGCATGCTAACACTACCATCAGATAGGAGAAATTTTTTCCATCCTGATATTGTGGTGTTAGTATGTGTGGGCGAGCTATCAGTTACGCCAAGTCGACGATAAAATACGTTGTTTACAAAAGCTGATATGTCCTTTCGAAAAAGTAATCGAAATTTGTAGAACGCGGGATCGTTATCATTCAGGCAAGGAGGTTGATCCACTTCGGAGCGCTTGCGCCATCGAGGCGACGGCACTGCCAGCAGCCAGTGATGACGACGGGAACGACGCTCAAGGTTCGAGGTGCAAAACACGAACGCTGCGCGCTTGACAGGAACCGCTGACTTCCTTCTGTTGCTGCTGCTGCTACCTGTTTACCCACCGTCCAAAGCGTACTCGATTATGACGACTGGGTTTGGGAAGAACGTTATTTTCATGACAAAATTATCACTTTGTATTTGTACATTTTTCAACAGTTTTTATGGAAAATTGAAAAAGCATATATTGTAGCAGATTTTGAGAGTTTTTTTTTTCCTATCGATTGGTGTATTTGGATTTAAATTTCATCTATACATAACAAAGTTATAAACGTTCAAAACCTTACACCTTTTCGTGACGGTCGCAATTTTAGACTTTCGGGAACCTTTAACCTTTAACGGGACCTTTAAGGCTCCTTTTCCAAAGGAGATTTATATTTTCGTTTATGTAGACGGCGTAATTTTCTTGGAAATCAGCCATAGCCTCAAAAGAAACTTCAGGCAGATGGGCGTCCCAAGCGGAAGTCATGCTTTCAGCCGACAAAAGCATGGTCGCTCACTTCTGCCGATCTCCACACAATCAATCAGCAAGTGTTATGGTACCACAATACCTTTCCGGAAGACGGTCACAATACTTGGGGCGCTCTTGGACTGGACGTTAAGCTTGTAACAAGGTTACAAGTATTCAAAAAAATAAGTTTAAATGCAGTCCTACACAACCCCACTAAAAATTACTATAGGTAGAGTTTATGCCTCCGGAAAAACTCTTCCGAGTGTATATAATGGGACACGAATTCTGACATGATAAACTTCGGTACCAACTGCGTTACCGATCACACGGCCAAAGATAGTTCATCTAGTAAAGGCAAGGATTAAAATAAGTAGGAGTGTTTAGTGGAAGTGGTTAAAAAAAAGCCGTTTGCTGAAATAGTGATTTTTTCCCGGTTTGTAGAACAAAAGTGCGATCAAAGCTAGATAAGCCATAGTGAAAAGTCTGAGGACGGTTTGTTGCACAGGCAAGCGAAAGCCATTTGGAAAGGTAAATGCGTCAGCTATGAAAAATATAAAATCTTTCACGGTGATACGTTTGACGGAACAATCCCTTCAAACAAAGGTGCACCCCTCGGCTCGTGAATCCAGAACGACCGAGCGAAGGACGGATCCCTTCATTGAGCTCGACTCGCATGGACGTCACTGTACACGTGTTGGACTGATTGGAGTCGGAACAAACGGTTCACTCCTAACCTCACCACACACGCCATCTGCAGGTCAGTCACGTGCATTACCTCTGGGAACGTCGAAAGTACGACGGCTTGATGAATTCCTACCTCACCATAAGCTCAACGTAGTGGTGAGTAGCGAACGTTGCACTTGGAGTGGTGAAATACGCTAGCAGAGCCACCAACCTCCTACACGACAAGACGATGGACACCGGCGAACGAACATTTGCCACACACGCACTCGGCCCACTTATCGCCGAAGCGGAACCACTTACACGATAAAACCCTATTCGATGTACCCCCTTACTAACCCTAGTGCTATGAATAACCACTAGAAATGCACCTCGCAGTGAAGTGATTCGCATAAGTGATCGAACACGTGAAAGAGTGACGGAAGAGTTTAATTGGTTAAATTCACGTGAACGTTGTAAATTCTTCCCGTAAGTAAGCAGAGGCAAACTTTCAAAGGAAACCCCTCTTACTGATTTGAATGAGTCTTTCCCCTGTTGGTTAAGTTTTGATTCTCAGAATTCGCAACCGCTTTGCTCGCCTTTTGTTGTTACGATTGAACTCGCCCTGAGGTCTCAGAGCCGGGACGGGTCTGGTTGAGTCCCTCGCTTTTTCACGGTAGATTCTAGTATCTACGTAGTGCTTAAGTGAAGATTGTAAGCATTCCTAGTTCCAAAACACCCGACCCGTTACAAACCTTCGTTCCTCATTTTAACAATGTAGTGGACAGCTGCTGCACAAGGCTTAGCTTGCTGCGGACACTTTCCAATCCTCATCGTAGTAACAACAGGAAAATTATCCTTAGAGTAGCAAAAGTCACCGTCAACAGTAAATCTTTCTACGGAATTGAGATCTTCTGTAGGACTAGCGGCGACCTCTTCACTGCGCCAATCAAGCCATCTGTATTGCTGCTGGGCTTCAACCGTTCACTCTTGCGGACTCGGCATGTATTTAATTCGGTGTCCTGCCTTTCCGGTATCAAGTAGCCGGGACCTTGGTAAGCAGAACAATAAGTTATCTGGAGAAGACTGCTGGGAACGAAGAAGTCTGTCTTTTTAGAATGAGGAACAGAGCTCTAAGGAATCTGGCCCATCAGGAGCTTCCCCAGTGTCGAGACTACACTAGACTGGATGTAGGGGATGGGCAAAACCAAACCTCCACGTTGATCTCTGGGTTGCTAGACGATTACAGGCTGGTAAAAATTCGCGGGAAATTCACGTATACGTGACAGAGCTGGTTAGCAACAAATACACCGATTACCACCACAGATACACGAATGGCTTTAAGGGGTCGTCCATTAATTATGTCACACATTTAGGGGGGGAGGGGGGTTTTGAAAACTGTGACGAGTCATACAAAAACAAATTAAGGTCCATACAAAAAATGTGACCAAGGGGGGAGGGGGGGGGGTTTAAAATGTGCTTAATTTGCGTGACATAATTAATCGACCATCCCTAAGGCCTCGGGAGGAGTCAGCCTCGAAATTGCAGATCCCGCTGCCAGTATCGAAGAGAATCATTATCACTATTCTGTATAAAATTAACAGTATTCTGGTTAAAATCTCCATAAATATGAATTATTGTTCTTGGATCTTCTCTTTGAATTTTCAGTCCTGCAGTAGTGAAAAACTTTTCGTGAGCTGGTTTTTTGGAAAAGTGTGCTTTGTTTATGGTACGAAGTCACACACCCCATATTGTGGGTCATCCGAATATGTCCTGAGCGGAGACGAGAAATAATCAATTGGTCCTGCCGGTTTGAATACTCCTGACACTTGTTAGTTTCCCCTTTGATTTTGCGGAGGAACAGTTCCCTTTTGATGGCTCACTCCTGGACCCAATATCAGGTCCAGGAACGGTTTAAGTAGCGAGCTATCCAGATCGACCCGTAGCCACAAGATGGTCTGCTTCACAAGCCCCCCGGATGCTGCAGTGCCCGGAAGGTAGGAAGGTAGTATTCGACGTCCCCCTTGGATCCAAGGATGTTTGAATGTCTGGGATTCCAAAGCTGTTAGAACACTTGCAGATTTCGTAAGAATACAAAGCAGTTTGCTGGCATGCATGGCAATGCACTTTCCGCAGAGAACACGGAACACGGGTCCAGAAGTCAAAGAGAATCGACTCCTGGACCAGTGTTGCGTGTTCTCTGCGGAAAGTGCATTACCATGCACGCCAGCAAACTGCTTTGTATTCTTTCGAACTCAGCAAGTGTTCTAACAGCTTTGAAATTCCACACATTCAGACATCCTTGGATCCAAAAGGTCCAATTGGAAGCTCCGTCAAATACTACCTTCCTATAGATCCCCGGGCACTGCAATATCCGGGGGAATTGTGAAGCAGACCATCTTGCGGCTACGGGTCGATCTGGATGGCTCGCTACTAAAACCGTTCCTGGACCTCCTCAAAATCAAAGGGGAAACTAACAAGTGTCAGGAGTCTCCAAACCGGCAGGACCAATTGAATATTTCTCGTCTCCGCTCAGGACATATTCGGAAGTGCAGTTTCGAACCCCTTTGGATACGGTTGTGTTTTAAGTTTTTTCTTTGTTTTGTGCGTGCGTTCGCTTTCATAGGTTTCGGCTGCTGTGTTCGGATGTTACACTTTCGGTGTGCAGTTCTATCGAGAATCTCGTCACCGAGTGCGAGTTTGAACACGGTCCGGTTGGTAAATTAGCTGGGAAAATTGCTGATAATGTGTCCGCTGCGAGTTTTGGCGGTGATTTGGTGGCCGACGTTGCCGTGAATCAGCGAGTTCACGGTTTGCAAAAGTGCTCGTCTGCTGGTCTCTCGCGAGTGTCGGAGATTGTGAGCAAGCTGAAGGATGCCTCGCTAGATAGGTAAATGCCAAGACTGGACGGGCGGTAGCTGGTGGCCGTGAACGGTTTCTGGGAAAAGCACTAGATGCAAACCTCCTCCCAAATGACCATGGTAATGCAGAAAGTATTACAACAAAGGTAATTGCTAATAGATATTTTTGCAAACAGTGACAAATAGTGGACATGAAGCTTAAGAGGAGGAGCCGGGCAAAGGTTTTATATCCTAGACAAATGGTAAGTTACAAATTCGCTGTTGTCGTTGTCGTAATCACCGCCGTAGTCGCCGTAGGCAGTACCGTTAGTATATTTAAAATTAACCGTCAACCGCTGAAAATATATGAATTATCGCGTATTTCTGTTGTTCATTACATACCAAGTGAAATACGAGAACGTAATTTCATTTGAATAGCTTGTTCAACTAGGGCTTAAACAGTCGTCACGTCGGTCATAGCTTGTTATGCTTGCCTGAACCATGCGTAAAGAGCAAATCGAAACATTGGACGTCGCTTGAAAGTGAAACTTAATGAAGGCCTAAATACTCTTTCGTTGCTTTTAAATTTAGGATTTGAAAGATCGTAGGTGGCAGTGGCTTGCTTACTAAACAGAAAAACGCGATCCCAGGTCCTTTAAATTTTAAAAATGTGTGGTAATATCGCTTGTTTATCGTGTATTTTGTAAAACTCTTCGTTATCGGTTCCGGGTTTTAACAGTCATAACAACTTGAGTAACGGTATAATGTGATATTAGGGGCTCGGTGGCCTTAGAGCAACCGATTTTGCTTACTGAGCAGAACTTAATGAGTCTACTCTCAAGCCCATCCACATTCAAGATTCGTCAATCGTTTTATTTGTTAACACGACTACATGGTAATAACAGCAACTCGTTGATTAAAAAGGAGCTCGTCTGCCTAGTGGCAAACGTTTTTGCTTACTGAGCAGAAAACCGTTGGTTCAATCCCAAGCTCCTTCGCGTTAAATGATCGTTAGGACATCAATTCAACTTATCGTTTACCAAAACGAACCCTGCTGTAAACCCAACCCTATCTCCCAATATCCCAGTGATTCCTCGTGGAAGTGCAGAGGTGTTCTCGGTTTCCATCAAAGCGAGTGTCACGTCAACACATTCCTACCACTTCCTTTCTTGACCTCTGTTCGGGCGCGGCCGGCGCTGGTAATGCCTAGTTTGAGATCATCAGTTTTTACACATTGAGGATGATTGCTAGTCCCAAGCATCGTCTATTGGTTCTTTGTGTAACTACATGTCAATCAAGCTCATGCTCATGCTCTCCGCTCAGGACATATTCGGATGACCCACAATATGGGGTATGCAGCTTCGTACCGTAAACATTGCGATATTTGCAACGCAACGGTAGAGCACTACTTGAGTAGCACACTTCCACTACAATAAGTTGCAGCAACTTGTTTATGACTTGTTTATGTTGACTTATGACTGTCGTATAGAAGTTTCCACAACCGATTAAAGACAAGCGTGCTACTAGGGTAGTGAATTTCTCAGGTTTCCAGGGTATTAGGAGCTTTATGGGATCCCGAGCTACATTAAAAACGCACTGGTCAATAACCGAAGCAGCTGTTATATGCTTCATCAAGGATGCCAACATGTATATGAACATCTGACCTAACTCACTGACAAGAACCAAGCATAACCGACCCACTGCATCGAACCAGGATCAACATTTATAACGAACTCTGAATACACCACCAAGACAGCACCTCGAAAGCTATAAGCGAATACTCTGTTACTAGGGAGCTTCCTTCCGGACTGTCCACTTCTCTAAACTTGGGGGGTCCTTTCTGGATCCTCCAACTCATCAACTCTATAGCTAGGGGGCTTCCCACCGCCATTTCACAAGGGGGGTCCTCTTCAGAAGTTCCCAATATTCATCAAGAGATGAACCACTGAATCTACTCTTTAGATTTGTATTGAAGTCCCCAACAACTGTGCCAAATTTGAACGAAAATTAATTTGGGTTTGCGGAAGATTTTAGAAACAAAGGTGGGGACCTCAATAAAATTCTAAAAAACAGGAGTTTACAACCCGCCATACTAACTTGATCCATCCTAATGCACATTAGCGTAGTTTCCTAATTGCTGAGAATCGCATGAAAATTGATTAGCTCTTCCTCTGAGCATGCTCCCGGAACATTTCTTATTTATTACACCCCATTATCCGACTAAACTGACAATCAATCAAATTTCCGCCACGGACTACTCTATGGCAGTAATTCTCTTGAATTACCAAATCAGTTCCGAACTTAGTCAGAACGAGAAATGAAGCACGCAATTGGATCCTCCAGATTAAACCGAATGAGTTCGTCCATCATGTTTACCATCACAATAATCCATTCCGAGAAGAATTCTGAAGCCTTCGGGAATTATTTGTAATTTTTCAAATTTACAACTTTTCCTAAAAACGTGCGTACGCACATGGGAGAACGTGTTTCCTTGGCGTGGTGCAAAGCAAAATCGACGAAAGAATCATCATCAGGCATCATCCAAGACCGAGAGCCACCATGAAACAAAAATACAAGTTTTTTTTTTTTCTGCGCGGGAAGCAAAAACAGACCGGAAACTTTCGCTCCTCTGCAGGAAGTGACGGAAAGTTTCACAATAAAAACGAAAACTTCCCTCTCTCGAAGAACTTCAATCAAGGTCGAACAATTCGACAACGGCGGGCGGATGTTCGAAATTTCTGCAGCGGAGCGATTGTTGGTGATTGTTGTTGTTCCCGTTCTTCGAGTTGTTTCGTGGCCCACACTTTTTTTCCGATGAATCGAATGGCAATATTATTAGCTTTTCTGCTTGTTTTTTTTTTGGTTAATGGTAGACTAAAAGTTTGACAGGGGGGGCTTAGGAAATTTTGTAGATGCAAGCGTTCGCTCCGGAAGTCACAAAGTATTGATCGTAGCAGTACAACATAAAAAATCACGCTAAAGCCTTGGCTTACTCGGGGAATCGATTATTGCATGAACCTCAGTTTCAGCAGGTTGGTAATAAAATTATTAAATCACCAATCCGTGCATTCGATGGCAGCTCATCCTTTAGGCGCTCTGTGCTAAATGACGTATAGATGAAAGTGACATACCTGAAAGAGAAACAAAAAGACAAACTGTTAATAACTGCAAACTGGATATTTATTCTTAGATCAATCCGATTAGGTGATCCAATTTAACACTGATAACCCCGAAGAGACAAATTCCCAACCAATGTTGTTCCCAATGAATCACCCAACCTGAAGTCACAAAAAAAAAATCGTAGGCTAAGTTGCCACACAGCTAAGAGCCGTTTATATTTATATCCAAGGAAAATTTTCCTCGAATTCCCTTTTGGCTCAAACAAACCCGGAAAGTCAACCAACCCAACCGACCAAGGTCAAACGGAAACACTAACACCCCTGCCGGCAGCTGTCTGTGGCTGACAGCAGGTTGCCATTTTCCCAGACTTAATCCCCCAGGTAGTCAGACCTGCATCTTCCGGAGAGCTGGCGAAGTAACATCATCATGGAGTTTGAGTGCTTACCGGAGTGGACCTGTCGGATGTAACATACTACATACCTTCCTTTTATCCTATATTTGGTTGTGCGTTGGTTGATGTCTTTCATATCAATCAAGATTTAGGACAGGAAGTGAAAGATTGGAAATGGACGAGCTGATAGTCGCATGGCCACACCTGTCCAATGAATGTGGTCCTGCAGAAGAAAGTTACACTGGGAGCAAGAGGGATCGTAATTTTAGGGATGGAATGTGACAAATCTTGAAAAGGTTATCTTATTTTTAGGGTAATTTTTAGTATGAGTTGGATTCATTCTACTGCATACATGTTTGAATGAAATCGCTACAATTCCAAAGGTTGCCACCTTGTCTGATGGACAACTTCGCTATTGCTGAGTTATACATCAGAATACTTGTGGAAAATGGGTGCCCTCGTATTTGGGGTGGTGAGATAAGTTGAATCAAGAAAGAAACGCAACCTTCAAAGTATTTATGTTGTATATACCTAGTTGCTGTAGAATGCTGTATAAACTTACTGAAATTAATTGTTCTTTTCATTGAATCACATGGATTCTTTGTAATAAAATGTGAGCAGACATTCTGATTAATGTCTGTTCCATCATCTGAGATGTTTTATAAAGCAACATTTATACAGACTTTGGTGTGATAAAACTGGAAATGAGCCACTTTTAAACACTCAAAAATTTAAGACATTTATCTACCGTTGATTACACCAACAAGTGTCTATTTATCAATTATCATCACAAGCAATGGCTAATACTTCAACAAAGTGTACAGGGTGTAATATAATATAATCCGTACAACAAAATGGTGTTGAAATTATCTTTTATTGATAATTTAAAAAATCAATTTAGGGGAAATGGATGTAATATCGGCCTAAATACCCATAATTTGGGCCTATACATAAATTAAGCAATCGACTAAATTTTCAATAGCGACCAAAAATTGAAACGAACTTACAGTCCATGTTTCATTAAGAACCCTATTTGTGGAATTAATTTTCGCCTTAGAAATAGGCAACCAAATTGCTCCAATCAGTAGGTAAGGATGGTATTAAGGGGAGTAGCATGTCATTTAATTGATCAGATCATAAAGTAAATGTTAATACGCATATTTGGAATCAAGCACGATAGAATCGGAATAAAAACGAAATTTGGAAAAAAAAATAGGCTTCTGATCACGGAAAGAGCACCGACTCGATCTTTCCCGTTCAGACCGCCGAACTGTAAAGTCGTAAATTGAAAATTTTCAAAGTGTATCTAGAAGCTAATTGAAACCAAATCTAAGTGATTGTGGAAAACAATTTAAACGTGATGATAAAGCTTTAAGTGAAGTGTGTTGTAAAGTAATAAAAAAATTAATTATTATTTCCAGAGTCTATCTTGTTGACATTAAATAAATTTAAACTATGCGAGGTAATTGGTGGAAAATATTTATTTCGTGTTTGGGGTACTAATCTTCGTCTATCCACAGTCACCATACGTGGTCGCGTTCAT